CACTCTTTGGTTAAATTTATTCTTAAGTATTTTACTGTTTCTCTTTATTTCTTTTTCAGATATTTGTTGCTTTCTAGAAATACAACTGATTTCAGTATTTTGATTGTATCCTGTAACTTTACTGAGTTCATTGATTAGTTCCAACAGCTTTTTGGTGGAGTCTTTAGGGGTTTTCAATATATAACATCATACCCGCAACAGAGACCATTTTATTCTTTCCAATTTAGGTGCTTTTTATTTCTTTTTCTTGTCTGCTCTAACTAGGACTTCTAGTATTATGTTTAATAGGAGTGATGAGAGTGAGTACCCTATTCTTGTTCTTGATCTTAGAGGAAAAGCTTTCAACTTTTTATCTTTGAGTATGATGTTAGCTGTGGGTTTGTCATATATGGCCTTTATTATATTGAAGTATGTTCCTTTTATACCCAAATTAGTGAGAGTTTTTATCATGAAGAGATGTTGTATTTTTGTCAAATACTTTTTCTGCATCAATTGAGGTTATCATATGATTTTTATCTTTTATTCTATTAATGTAGTTTATTACATTTATTGATTTGTATATATTGAACCCCCCTTGCATCACAGGGATAAATACCATTTGATCATGGTGTATGATCCCTTTATTAGACTGTTGAGAATTTTTCCATGTATATGCCCCACAGATTTTAGCCTGTGGTTTTCTTTTTTTGCAGTGTTCACATACGGCTTTGGTATGGGGGGCAATGAAACTATCTGATCCTGTATGTTAGAAAGTTTTTGATTACAGATTCAATCTTCATACTTGTTATTGGTTTATTCAGATATTCTATTTTTTTAATAATTCATTCTTGGTAGGTGGTATGTTTCTAAGAATTCATCAGTTTCTTCTAGGTCACCCAATTTGTTGTATAATTGTTTATAGTAGTCTCTTATGATCCTTTGTATTTTTGTGGTTTCAATTGTAATGTCTCATCTTTTTTTTTTTTGCCACAAGGTGTGTTTTATTTTCATTAATCATACAAATAATTTGCTATAATATTCCAGGACAAACTGGAGATTTGTCAGTCTAATGGGGGGGGGTGTCCCCTCAGAGACCCGCAAGGCCGGTGGCATTGGCATGGAGTGCCTGGGTTCACAGTGCGGCCTGTCGCTGTGTCCATCCTGCAGGTGGCCCTTCTTCCTCTGCATCACCACTAGGGTGTCTCGAGGATGATGCGGGTGGGGAATCCTCTAGGTTCTAGGAAATGTCACTCCGCTTCTCCTGCTCAATGGTCTCTTTGGTCGGCAGGGTGTTCTCCTGTGTCTCCCTCCGTTTTCTTTAGCTTGGCCTTATGAAGCTGGCGATTTCCCCTATGTCTGGCTTGTCTGCCGTTTTCTTCAAGCTATCCAAGGAGTTCTGCTGCGAGCCCGGCGCCTGCTGCTTCCACTCGCGTTGCTGCAGCAAGAGACCTCATCTTTTATTTCTGATCTTATTTATTTGAGTCTTCTTTTTTCTTAGTCTGCTTGTCAAATTAAAAAAAAACTCCTTAAAAAACTAGTTTTTAGTTTTGTTGTTCTTTTCTATTGACTTCTGTTCTCTAATTAATCCACTTCTGCTCTGCTCATTATTTCCCTCCTGCTAACTGTGGATTAGTTTATTCTCCTTCTAATTTTGAGGTGAAATTTAGGTTGTTAATTTGAGATCTTTGTTTTTTCTTAATTTAGGCATTTATCATTATAAACTTCTCAGAACTGCTGCTGCACTATAATTCTTGGAATGTTGTATTTCCATTTTCATTTGTTTTAAGATTTTTAAAATTTACTTTTTGACTTTTAACTCATTGGTTGTTCTGGAGTGTACTGTTTAATTTCCACATCTCCATGTATTTTCCAGATTTCCTCCTGTAATTGATTTTGAATTTCATACCATTATGTTTAGAAAAGATACTTGCTAGGATTTCAGTCTTCCTTTGCTAATACTTATTTTGTGACCTATCAGTAATTTATCCTGGAGAATGTTCCATGTGAACTTAAGAAGAATGTGTATTCTATGTTGTAGGATGGAACGTTCTATATATGTCTATTAGGTTCATCTGGTCTAAAGTGTGGCTTAAGTGTAGTGCTTCTCTATTGATTTTCTGTCCGGATCATCTATCCAATAGTTGAAAGGGATACTGAACTCCTCTACTATTATTGTATTATTGTCTGTTTCTTCCTTCAGATCTGTTAATATTTGCTTAATATATTTAGGTGGTCTGACATTGGGTATATATGTATTTATAATTGTTATTTCCTCTTGGTGAATTGACCCCTTTCTCATTATTATTATATAATAACTTTCTTGGTCTCTTGTTATGGCTTTTGAGTTAAAATCTGTTTCAATGTAAATAAGTATACCCACTCCTCTTCTTTTTTGGTTTCCATTTCTGTGGAGTATCTTTTTTCATTCTTTCATTTTGAGCCTATGTGTATGTATCCTTAAAGTTGATGTGAGTCTTGGTAGGCAGCGTTTAGTTGGGTCTTATTTTTCTATCCACCTGGCTGGGGTCTATGAATGGAGAATTTAATCCATTTACATTTAGAGTAACTATTGAGAGGAAGGACTTACTAATGCCATCTTACTGTTTTCTGGCTGTTTTGTAGTCCCCTCTTCCTTTCTTTCTCTCTTGCTATCTTCCTTTGTGAATTGATGATTTTCGGTAGTGGTATGCTTTGATCCCCTTTGTTTATCATTTGTGAATCTACTCTAGTTTTTTTTTTTTTTTTGCCATGTAGTTACAATGAGGTTCACATAAAATACCCTACAGATGTAATACTATGTTTTATTCTGATGATGACTTAACTTCAATTATATACAAAAACTCTGTTCTTTTGTTTCTCCTCCATTTTGTGTTTTTGATGTCACAATTTACCTCTTTTTATATTGTGTATTCATTAACAAATTATTGTAGTTGTAGATATTTTTAATATTCTCATCATTGAACCTGTATACTATGATTAAGTGGTTAACACACCACCATGTTCCAGTATTAGCATATTCTGAGTTTGACTATATATTTTTTACCAGTGTGTTGTATATTTTCATATTACTAATTGGTGTTTTTTCATTTCAGCTTAAAGAACTATTCAGCATATCTTGTAAGGCAGGTCTAGTGGTGATGAATTCCCTTAGCTTTTGTCTGGGAAAGTCTTTAATGCTCCCTCATTTTTTGAAGAACAGCTTTCCCAGATAGGGTATTTTGGGTTGGCATTTTTTTCTTTCAGCACTTTAATATATCATCCCACTCTCCTGGCCTCTAAGGTTTCTGCTGAGAAATTCACTATTAGTCTCATAGGAGTTCCCTTGTAGGTTACAAGTTTCTTTTCTCTTGCTGCTTTTAAGACTCTCTGTCTTTTATTTTTGACAGTTTTATTATAATGTGTCTTGGAGATTTCTTTACATTGATTTTGTTGTGCACATATGAGCTTCATGAACTTGGATTTCCAAATCTCCTCCAAGATTTGGGAAGTTTTCAGTCATTATCTCTTGAAATAATTTTTTTGTGTCTTCTCTCTTTTTTTTCTTTCAAGACTTCAATAATTTGTAGATTGTTTCTCTTGATGGTATCCCATAGATCATGTAGGCTTTCTTTACTTGTTTTCATTCTTTTTGCTTTGTTTTCTTCTGACTGAAGATTTTCAAAGTTCCTGTCTTCTGATTCACAGATTCTTTCCTTTGCATAATCCATTAGGCCATTTATGCTCTTTTTTGCAATTTCCATTTTGTTTATTGTATCCTTTTCCAAAACTGTTTTTTTTAAAAAATGACTCTCTTTGTTAAACTTCTTAATTGTTCGCAGATTTGTCCAATTGTCTTCCTATGTTTTCTTGTAGCTCATTCAGATCCTTTATTTTATCTTAATTTTTTTAAAAAAGATTTTATTTATTTATTCATGAGAGACATACAGAGAGAGGCAGAGACATAGGCAGAGGGAGAAGCAGACTCTCCACATGGAGCCTGATGTGGGACTTGATCCCAGGACCCTGGGATCACACCCTGAACCGAAGGCAGATGCTCAATTGCTGAGCTACCCAGGCATCCCTCATTGAGGTCCTTTAAAAGAGTTATTTTGAATTTTTTCTCAGGCAAATTGCAGATTTCCATGTCTCTGGGGTGGGTTATTAGAATATATTTTGATCCTTTTGTGGTGTCATATTTCCTGGCTTTTCATGTTCCTTGAGCTCCTGCCCGACTGTCTTCACATCAAGTAGGTCACCTCCGGTAGTCTATACTATTTTCGGGAGAGAAATACCTTCTGTCAGCCCTGCTGGGAACTCTTAGGCTTTCTCAGATCTTCCGTGGATGTGTCTGCTCCATACTTCTTACTCCCTGTTCAGAATTCTTAAGCTTGTCTACCTTCTCTTGATCCTGCAGTGCACCAGGCTGGGTACTGACAGAATTCCTTTTGGTTTCCCAGAAGTGATGCTAAAGGTGAAGTTTGTGGCTTCTCCCTGGCCTACAGGTTCAGGTTGACTTTCTACATTTGCTTACTAGTTGTCTACCAAAGCTTGCTCTTGCTGCCATCAGGGGTGTGCACAGGTTGAGCTGGCCACAGGGTGGTGGTTTGTGTGGGTGAAGTATGTGGAGCCTTGGGGGTGTGCCCATGGGCCAGTTGAGGGGGAATCCAAAGGCCAGGTATTCGCTCATGGGCAGGCTTCTTAATGAAGTCCATGATGCTCTTTGGGGTCTGCATTCCTTTACTGCCCCCCCAGAGTTCTTCTCCAGTCTCCCAGTCTCTTCCTGCCCCCTGAGTCATGAAGATTTCATGACTGAGTGCTCTGGATGGGGTGAAAGAGAAGTAGGCCTCTTGCACATCTGGGGAACCTAGGTGCTCACTCACACTTTTTTTTCCCCCTACATTAGGGAAGAGGAGGTCTCTCACGGCACTGAGCTGTGCTACCTTGGGGGAGAGGCAATGTGGGTAAAGTCACATTGTTCTCTTACTCTCTTCAGTGCATCTAAACTCATATCTTTTTGCCCCAACAGTATGCTGGAACTTCTCTGCTTCCACAAAGACTCTCTGGACTCCCACAAAGCCTCTCTCATCTGTGGATTATTGACTAAAATAGTTTCTCCAGGGGCTCCTGGACCATGGCTGAGCAGGGCTGGAGCCAGTTCATGGGCCATTGGAGGGTCCACAGCCAGAACAAGGTCTGTATGCCTATGACCTGACATATGGGTGGGTGAAACTCCTCTCAAATCCTTTGGCCTGTGGTGCTAATCCACAAAGGCATTTTTGTCAGTGGACAAAATCATTGGATGGAGGGATGTCTTTTTCATCCATCTTGCTCACGGGATGCTTCTGAAGGTTAAACTATTGAAACTGGTAAAGCACATTCATATTTATTTATTCAACTATCCCTCCATTCATCCACTCAACCACCATCAATCTACATTGATCCATCCATTCCTTCATTTATCAAATATTCATTAAACATCTATAATATATCAATCCTGTATTATGGCATGGACACAATGTAAGCAATTATTAGATCCCTGATGAATATTCCTAAATACCATTTGCTGAAGCACTGCCAATGAATTAGAGTAACCATTTTATCAAAAATATTTAACTGACATATGTAAACTAATTTTTCACCAAAGGTAACTTACTTTAATGTTGAAATTTTATATTTGTTTTAGCTTCTTTATTAAAGGTAGTGATATTTAAAAACCTTTCTTAAATACATTTTCAAAACAATTCTCTTTCCTGTGTCTGGGTGGCTCAGTCACTTAACTCAGTCAGTTAAGCTTCTGCCTTTGGCTCAGGTCATGATCCTAGGGTCCTGGAATCAAGTCCTGCATTGGGATCCCTATTCTGCAAAGAGTCTACTTCTCCCTCTGCCCTTCTCCCATGCTTGTGATCTCTCTTTCTCTCTCTTAAATAAATAAATAAATCTTTAAAAATAGTAATAATAAAACAATTCTGTTTCTACTATGATAATACAAATAAGCTCAAATAATCTTTATTTTTTAAAATATTTTAATTTATTTGACACAGAGGGAGAGAGAGTGCACACAAGCAGGGTGAGCAGCAGGCAGAGGGAAAGGGAGAAGCAGGTTCCCCACTGAGCAGGGAGCCAGTTGGAGGTCTTGATATTGACCCTGGGATCATAATCTGAGCCAAAGGCAGCCTCTTAACTGACTGAGCCACCCAGGCACCCCTCAAATAATCTGCTCTATTAGATATATCACAAATAGCAACTATGTGCTCTATTTGGCTGGAATTGTGGGTTTGTTATCACAGCATCTTTTCAATGTTATACATCTTTCAGTGGCTCCTTTCCAGCCTATTCTTGGGTTTACATTATAGTATGACATTACTTAGTTTATAAATAAATTGAGAAATAATTATATTTTATTTGAACAGCAGTATTGTAGACCTGCAGTATGAGTTATGGTAGCCAAGATAGAAAGCCCTACAACAGCTTTTTGTTATTTTATTAATTACCAAATATTATCTATACCTAACACCAAATAAATCTCTTGTTTATACATTATAAAAACTTTGCAGAACAGAATTTCAGTTCAATTTTAAACTTACCTAAAAAAATACAACTTTAATGTAAGTTTATAAGACAATTTATTGCAGTTTAGTATATCCCAGATCTTACATAAATACATCTTTGCCAGAAGAACTTTTAGGCTGGTGTGATGTATAGTGGTTAAAAGCATGGCTCTGGAGTAAGACAGACTCGATTTTTATTATGGCTCTACAGATACCAGCTGTGTGACCTTGGACAAGTTATTTAACTTCTTTAAATCTCAGCTTCTCTGTATCTATGATGTGAACAATAATACCTATTTATGGGCTGTTACTGAGAAAACTGGAGAACCAATGCTTATGAAGATCTTGGTAAAATGACTTATGTAAGGTCTCCATAAATATTGGTTTTTAGTATCTATGTTATTTTGAATAAGTTGAGCTGAAGAGGTATCATAAGTTTTAATTCTTTCTATATTTGAATTTATAGATTATTTTTGTAATAGTATATCTTGCATGTATTTCATGTAAAATTAGGTTTAGCTGTGAGTTACAAAGGCCTAAAGTAATAGTGGCTTAAAAATATACTCCCCTCCCCTTTCCATATAGAAGTTAGGCTGTCCAGGGCTGGTGTAGTAGTACCCTTCCAAAAAGTTCCCTGGAAGCCAGCATCCTTAGAGTTTACCTCTTTGTCATCTTGAGGCTGTGACCATTATCCTTATGCTATAAAGTGTTAGCTATAGCCCCAGTCTCCAGCTTAAGAAGCAGAGTGGGACAATGCTTGAAGAAGAAAGTGGCTGAGGAAGGCAAACGGTATGAGGTAGAGGCCTTTTAAGAGAGGTCTTCAAAAGCTACCACATATTTCTGTGTTTATTCTATTGTCCATAATGTAGGCACATGTTCAAACCTAGATAGAATGGAAGAGTAGAAAATGTATTCTCTTTGCTCAGTTTAGAATTGCAAGTCATCTTACTATGACGGAATGGCGAGCATGGATACTGGGGTCACTGGCACATATCCCCCACAACATGTAACTTGTGTATTAAATCAACTCATGTGAACTTGTTAAAATGGACTCATTAAACCCAGGTGGTATAAATATGAACTATTTGTCCAATAAATTGTGCTAACATTGCCAAATCACCATTTCCTCTTAGGAACCAGCTCCCCTAATGATATTTCAGTCTGGGTCCTTATACTTTGGCCACTTTAGGTCATGCAGAAACGTCTCATTTCAATTTGTGAGCCCCATTCTCTTCATTTAAAAATATCGGTCTGATCAGACCTATAAATGTAGGACAAAATTGATGGTTACCAGAGGGAAGGGAGATAAGGGCAAAATGGATGAAGGGGAGTGAGAGATACAGGCTCCTAGTTATGGAATAAGTCATGGAAATAAAAGCCACAGCATAAGGAATATAGCCAGTGATACTGTAATAGCATTGTATGGTGACAGATGGTAACTATACTTGTGAAAATAGAACAATATATAGAGATGTTTAATCACTATGTTGTATACCTGAAAGTAATGTAACATTGTGTGCCAACTATACTAAAATAAAAAATTAAAATAAGGAATGCCTGGGTGGCTCAGTGGTTGAGTGTCTGCCTTTGGCTCAAGTTGTGATTCTGGGGTCCTGGGATCAAGTCCCACATCAAGCTCCCAGCAGGGAGCCTGCTTTTTCCTCTGCCTATGTCTCTGCCCCTCTCTCTGTGTCTCTCATGAATACATAAATTAAATATTAAAATAAAATAAAATAAAATAAAATGAAAAAATCCCATATATCTGATATTTGATTAAAAGTTTTCCCTTCCGGGATCCCTGGGTGGCGCAGCGGTTTGGCGCCTGCCTTTGGCCCGGGGCGCGATCCTGGAGACCCAGGATCGAATCCCATGTCGGGCACCCTGCATGGAGCCTGCTTCTCCCTCTGCCTGTGTCTCTGCCTCTCTGTCTCTCTCTGTGTGACTATCATGAATAAATAAATAAAATCTTAAAAAAAAATAAAAAAAATAAAAGTTTTCCCTTCCTCCCTCCTATTCAGATTAGACTAGTGGTTCCAGGGTTCTAGAGGGAAGGGGCATCACTTGCTTTTTTCCATTTTCCTCCTTCTTTCTGCCTATCTCTCTGAGAGTGAGTCAGGGACAGACCGAGGGACGCAGATAGTGGCATCTTCCTACCTTTCTTTCAGTCATTCTTTCTGCTCTGGCTGTGTGCTTGACGGTCCAGTGGTAGCAGTGGGCATTCCTTTAGGCTCTGCTGATGAGGCTGTGTCCCACATCCTCCGTTGGCATCAGTAGTCCTTTGTTTCACAACCACCTGCCCTCCACGACCCCCCATGCAGGATCTGCAGCCAGGTGTGGAATTTATTTTCTTCATGCTTCAGGAAACAAGAACCCAAGGGGTCCATCCGTCTCTCCCAGCCTGGCTGTGCTCCTGTGCCCTGTCTATGGTGCTCTTTCTCCTGCTCTGGGGGCAGATCAACAAGCCCAGTAGCCTTCAGCTGCTTAGACATTCAGCTGGGGGCAAACTCTGACCCATGCTCCTCTCCTCCTCCTACTCCTCCTCCTCCTCCTCCTCCTCCTCCTCCTTCTTCTTTAAAATTCTGATTATATATATATATATATATATATATATATATATATATATATACATAAACTTGCCATCTTAACCCTTTCTGAGTGTTTAAGTTAGTGGCCTTAATTACATTTACAACATTATGCAATCATCATTATCTCCAAAATATTTTCATCACCCAAACAGAAATTCTGTATACATTAAAAAAACCCTCCCCATTTCTCCTCCTTCCAGCCCCTGGTAAACCTTAAACCACTCTGCATTTCTATGAACTTGCCCATTACAGATACTACAAATAAGCAAAACCATATAATATTTGTCCTTTCTGTTTGGCTTTTTCTCTTAGCATAATATTTTCATGGTTCACCCAACATATGTTGTAGCATGTATCTGAAGTTCATTCTTTTTTATGACTAGTGTTCCATTATGTTTATATGCCACATTTTGCTCATCCACACTTTTTGGCTGTTGTGAATAATGCTGCAAAGAACATTGGCATTTGTCTGAGTTCCTGTTTTCAGTTATTTTGAGTGTATATTTAGGAGTGGCACTGCTGGGTCATATGGTAATTCGATGTTTATCTTTTTTTTTAACATTTATTTTATTTTATTTTTATTTAAAAATTTTTTTAATCGAAATTCAATTTAGTTAACATATAGTGTGTTATTAGTTTCAGGGATAAATTTAGTGATTCATCAGTTGCATATGACACCCAGTGCTCATTATGTCAAGTGCCCTCCTTAATGCCCATCACCTAATTACTCCACTCCCTTATCCCACTCCCATCCAGCAACCCAGTTTGTTTCCTATAATTAAGAGTCTCTTATGATTTGCCTCCCTCTCTGATTTTGTCTAATTTTATTTTTCCCACCCCTTCCCTATGTTCATCTGTTTTTCTTCTTAAATTCCGTCTATGAGTGAGATCATATGGTATTTGTCTTTTTCTGACTGACTTATTTTGCTTAGCATAATACCTTCTAGTTCCATCCATGTCATTGGAAGTGGCAAGATTTCATTATTTTAGATGGGTGAGTAATATTCCATTGTATGTATACATTACCTCTTCTTTACCCATTCATCTGTTGATGGACATCTGGGCTCTTTCCATATTTTGGCTGTTGTGGACATTGCTGCTATAAACATTGGGGTGCAGTTACCCCTTTGGATCACTATTTTTGTGCCTTTTGAGTAAATACTAGTAGTTCAATTACTGGATCATAGAGTAGCTCTATTTCTAACTTCTTGAGGAACCTCCATATCATTTTCCAGAGTGGCTGCACAAGTTTGCATTCCCACCAACTGTGTAAGAGGGATCCCCTTTCTCTGTACTCTCAGCATTGATGTTTTTCTTTCTGAGGAATCACCAAACCATCTCCCACAGCATTTGCACCAGCAGGGTACCAGTTTCTCATTTACTCACCAACACTTGTACATATTTTCTTTTGACTCTAGTCATCCTAACAGATTTTAAGTCACAGCTCATTGTGGGTTTTTTTAAAAAATTGAAGTATAGTCAATGAACAATGTTACATTAGTTTCAGGCATACCACATAATGATTTGACAATGCTATACGTTATGTCATGCTCACCCAAATGTAGCCACCATCTGTCATCATACAAGACTATTATAATACCACTGACTCTATTCTCTGTGTTGTACCTTTCATCCCCGTGACTTACTCATTCATAACTGGAAACCTGTACCTCCCTCTCTCCTTTACCCATTTTGCCTATCTTTCTATCCCCTTCATTGTGGTTTTGATTTATGTTTCCCTGATGACTAATGACAAAGTATTTTTTCCCCATGCTTATCGGTCATTTGTATTTCTTCTTGGCAAAATGTTTATTCAAGTCCTTTACCCATTTTCAGCTGGGTTGTTGGTCTTTTTGTGGGTTCCGCCCTTCTTGCAGTTGCTACAGGGGAGAAGAAAGGGAGAACTTTTCATCCTGCTGCTTTTGCCGAGAAGTCATCTTCTCATGCCTCTGGTCTTCTTTTTATGGCTGTTTGTTGGTGAATCAGTTCAGGCTACTGTCCGTGTAGTGGAGAAAAGGAGTGAGTAATGGGAGGCTCACAGCAAGAAGTAGACTTTAAAAACTGTGTTCTGAGGGATCATCTCTGGAGGATCAAACAGATCTTAATCAGATCTTACATGAACCTGTTTCATTTATGCATAAAATAATTCAGTCTTAGAACAGGAAGACACCTTAGAGTTCATTGGATCCAACTCCATTATTTTACAGATAAGATCCAGGTCCTGAAAGGTGAGATAACTTTTTCTGTTGTTTTGCTAGTTTAAAACTGATTTTTTAAAAATGCCTGCCTTATGTGTCACTACAATTGACTGCAAAAGTGTTTTTTCACTGGAAAAGGACACATTAGAGATACAACCTATTTTTGTTTTCTCTTCTCCAGGTGAAAGAAGAAGACTCCAGGTGAAATATTTTGTCGTCAACTCTGATATATGAATGGTTTCCAGGCTCTTGGGGATCAGACTATTATTTTAAGTGAATATAGATGAGCAGTACACTTGTCTAGCACTCTACTCTTTGCAAAGTGGTATCTTATTCTTAGAACATTCTGACCATCAGTGAGCAGGTGTTACTACTCTTAGATGGGTGAGGACATGACCAAGAACATCAGTAAACTGGTGGCTGCTTTTGGAGCAGATCACAGTCCCTTGTCTCTGTGAGAGTGATCGGGCTGTCACCCTCCTGATTACCATATCGAAAAAACATCTGAATGTGGGGTTAGAGAACCCAATTCTATCCCTGACTGGCTGTGACCTTAGGTAAGTCACTTTACCTTTCTGATTCTTGGTTTCCTCATGTGTAAAACAGACAAAAAACCCCCACTTACCTGTTCAATTGTTGTGAGAATCAACACAGAAAGTGTAACAAAAGTCCTTTCTGAATATAAAGAACTGTACAAATGTTAGTGATTGTTATTATCTGGCTGTCTGGGTAGAGGGTCACTTTGTGTATTATAAAATAAGACTTTGTAAGGTTGAACAGCATTGGAAGCTTAAGGAAGCTTCAGAGGGCTCCTGCAGAGTAAAAGATGATGTTCTCTTCATCCTCAGGTCTTATCATAACCCATAACCATTGTTATTTAGAATTCAACAGACATAACAAGCTAAGTCTTCTTGAAATATTCCCCACTTTGTAAATACAGCTTTGCTTTTACAGTTCTTTTACCAGCAGAAAGATGCAACGTTTGCTCATTTCACCTAGCATTTGAAAGGTCAGTCGTGAAAATCCGAAAATCTTTCCAACACAGAAATCCAGTCACGACGTTCCTATTATTAAAACCTTTTAACTCCCTGTGGCTCACAGGATAAAGTCCAAATGCCATAATGGCAAATGTTTTTTTCTATCCAAATGGACTATAAATATGTAAATGAATTTATTAATTGAACCCCTATCATGGGTGTACAAGGCCCACTCTGGTCCAGCCCATCTGTGCTTTCCGTCTAATCTCCTACTTCCCTTTGCACCACTACCCCCTCTCGCTGGGAACCACAGTCTCTCTCTTTGTCATGGCCTCCTCTTTGTCTGCATGTGCCACCTCAGCTACATGGAGTGTCTTTCTCCCTCTCTGCCTGTTTGCCGCTTTCATATTTATGCTTTAAGACCCAGCTCAAAAGCCACCTCCTCTGTGAAACCATGTCTGGCTTCTTCTTCCTCACAGGGAGGATTACTCATTTCTTCTCTGCACGGGGGTGGGCTGGGGAGGGGAGGGGGGTGGGAAAAAGAGCATTTCCTACATCATTCTTTTGTCATTTCATTTGAGATTTTGCCTAGCCACTAGTCCACAAGAATTTTGAGGGCTGGGCCAGAATCTTTTCTTTGTATGGAATCTTCTTTGTACCCCAGTGCTCAATGTTGCATGCGGAAACAGCAGGTACTCAATATATGTTTGCTAATGCATGTTTGTTGAAACCTGTAGGGCAAGATACACCAATTAAAAAAAACCCAGGAACTCCTTCATACTCTGTGCTTTGAAACCCACCAACAAACTCTATACCCTAGAATTATGCCCATTATTACTTTGAGTCTTCCATTTCTTCTGTCCAAGACTAAAAATATTTCACCATTCTCTAATTAGACATGAATTAGACAATAAAACAAGGGCTTGCTTTAAAGTCCCCACCCTCCAGGCCTCTCTTTTAGGCAATCAGTCCATTACTTGGAGAGCTGGGGCTTGGGACACCAGGTCCCTCTCTCCTTGTAGCACTGTCTCTGTGACTTGAGCCCATTTCTTCTGGTCTCTGGGCTTTAGGTTTGGAATCAGGGAGTTGGCTTGTATTTTCTTAGAGGTTCCGCTCAGTCCTGACAGTTTATCTTGGACATAGTAGATCCTAGGAAAGCTGAATGGGACAAATGAAAGGCAAATCTATTTCAGCTGGGGCAGAAAGACAGCCCTTAGACACACTGACAGGAGAGAGAGTGGGCGAAGGGTAGGATAGAAATCAGCCTGAAATCCTTTCAAAATTCAAGTGTTCTGTTGTTGCTTCATCATTTCTCCCAGCAGGGAGTAAGTCCTTCTAGCTCAAACATATCTTCAGCATGCTTACCCCTTCCCCATGATGCTCCCTAAACCTGGAGATTTTTCTTCAGAGCTAATGGTCACAGAACCTATTAGAATATTCCTCCCTCCCTCGAATTCTTGTGCACCCTTTTTCTGCACCTCCCCAGAATTTCAACAAGTTACTGCTAGTGAGATCAGAATGGGAAACAGCAGAAGGGTCAGGTGAATCCAAGCATATACTTGAATGAGAGCAGAGAAGCCAGCAAAGAGGAATACAAACACCAGGGTCTGTGAGAGCTCTGGATTGAAAAGCAGACATGGAAAAAGAGAAGAGTTAATGGTGGAAGGGAGGGCTTAGGAACAAGACACATTTAGGAGTTTTTTTTTTTTTTTTTTTTTTTTTTTTTTTACTGCAGATCTGTTGTGTTGCAGAGGTTTGTTTTTTTTTTTTTTTTTTCTTCCTGTTTTTGTTTGTTTGTTTTGATTTTAGGAAGGAGAATTCTGAAAGAAAATAAGTATGAGGATTGCACATCCATGCACAGGGTGAGGATAAGAATAATTCAAGAGCATAAAGTTTAACATTTAACAAAAGTCCTTGTATTAATTGTTGTTTTGAGAGAGAAAACATGCTAGTGAACAGAGATAGGGAAGGTCAGAGGGAGAGGAAGGGAAAGAATCTTAAGCAGGTTCCATGCTTAGTATGGAGCCTGACACAGGGCTCAATCTCACAACCCTGAGATCATGACCTGAGCCGAGATTAAGAATCTGACACTTAACCAACTGAGCCACCGAGGCATCTCTCTCTCTCTCTCTCTCTCTTTTTAAAGATTTTATTTATTTATTTATTTATGAGAGAGAGAGAGAGAGAGAGAGAGAGAGAGAGAGAGAGAAGAAGAGCAGGGGGAGGGGCAGAAGGAAAGGGAGAAGCAGATTCCCCACCCTGAGCAGGGTTCGATCTGGGACCATGACCTGAGCTGAAGGCAGATGCTTAACTTACTGAGCCACCCAGGAGCCCCTGATACATCTTTTATTAAGTGAAAAGTAGAGACACTTATTGGATGGACTCTGAGTAAAGTTTTTAATAAGTTCTAGTGTTTATTGTTCTAAAAGGGACTAAGTCCAGCACCAAACCTAAACTGAAAGGGCTGCTGTCAAGAAAAGGGCTAAAAGAAAATTGCTTCCTTTTATTAAAGGGAAGAAAATAGAAGACAAGATTAAGAAAAAAGAACAAGAAATGAAAAGAGGACACAAAATGTCTAATGCTGAGATGGCCACGGACTGCCTGTTGTCCAGTGAACCTCAGTGCAGCCCCTGTTCCCCCATCTCCCATCCCAACAGCTTCCCCTTACGTAATAAGAAGAGGATAATGCTGGGTAGTCAGAAAAATGTTGCTCAAAATTCAACTAAAGATAAGTAACAGCAAAGATATATCCAGTCCCTCGGCAAACTACTGATGTTGCATAGCAACAACTGCCTAGTTTTATTTCTGTCACAGAATTGCCATAAGGAAGCTTTGAAATTAAGTATTTTTTAGAAATTTAAACAAACAAGGTAGCATACTTCCTCATACCCATCCAAGTCACCTGCTTCCTTCTAAAATTAGAAAGGCAGCCTCTCAAAGGGGGAGACAATTAAGATAGTAAAAAGGACTGAAATTTATTGGGTCCTTACTAATAATTTTTTTGGATTTATCTCCTTTAATCCTGACAGTAACCATGTGAGGCAGGTCTTACTCCCATTTTGCAGATGAGAAAACAGAATATGGGGTAACTTGGCCAGGGTCATAAGAGCCAATAAGAGGCAGAGTTAGGATTTGAAACATGCCCTCCCCCACCAGCTTTTTCCTGCTTACTCACAATTCAGTGCTTTTCCCATCACCCTATGCTACATTGAGGTCTGTGCCTGGCTATAGCAGCTACTCTCACTCCTTTGGATGGTATCTGGAATTGTGTCTGTAACAGGCTAGTAATACTTTCAGAAGAACATTTGGAAAGACTTGGACCCATATCTGACAGTGTGGATCAGTTGTTTCATGTACAGATTTACCTGAGAAACTCTTGAGTTCATCAGTCTAGTGGAAGAAACTAATCTCTCTTCAGGGCACTTGTGTTATGACCTGTTTGAGGGGACTCCCTACCACAATTCTTGGTATTGGATTTGCAGGCAAGTATTTAGGAGTTGTTCAAGAAATAAGTTCCCTATGAATTGAGACATTTATTTTATCCTTTGTCTTTTCTTAGTAATTGCTTCAGTATCTAAAAGCAAGAGTAATGGAATAAATGCAAGGAACCCACATTACAGACATTTTTGAAATCCCTTCTACTCATGACTTGGGGCTGTGTCATGGAAAGATCCCACCTCTGATTGCTGACCACTCATTTGGTTCTAATATAGAGGAGGGATTTCTTCAACAGATATTTCTGGGCACCTACTCTGTGTTGATTATTGTGCTGAACAAAAGAATACTGTATTAACATGATCCCTGACCTCAAGAAATTCTTCAACCTAGTTGAAGAGACAAGTATTATACAAAGAGTTAATACTTGTGCAGTAGATGAGTATTATAACAGATTAGGCTTAAAATCTAGCAGGGGCACAAAAATAGGTGTCATTCAGTCTGGCATATCAGAAAAGGTTTTGTTGGAAGAGGACCCACTTAATCATGTTTATGCAGGTCTTAGGATCATTGAAGCATTCTAGGGAGATGGACAGTATGGGATCATGAAACCACTGGCAGTCCAGGAAGCCTGGTATATAAATTGCTGGGAGGGAAATGACCTTAGAAAATAGGTAGGAGTCAGTGATGGTGCGGTCTTTGATGTATGCTGAGGATGGACATACAGTATAATGTTGGGGAGGGACATTCATTCTATGGATGATGGGAAGCACTGACAGATTTATAAGC